TGATGGCTGTCCTTTTGGAAAACCAACCCTTGCTGACAACAGTAGCCTCCAGTAATGCAATATCCAAATGATCTACAGATTCTAACAGAGATAATCTGGTCAGGAGAGCAGGCTTGCCTCCCATAGTTTTCTTGGCAGCAGCTTTTGAGACTGAGGTTGGGAAGATGATGTTACACAACAGTGGCACAACAGGCGTCAGACACAATTTCCTTCTTCCCCTTGGTCACAGTGCCTGAGTAATTCACAACCTTTTGCTGACCTGTTCATCCAAAGCTTTCTCACAGGCTTTTAAGGTGATATGTAAGTTAAGAGTTAATGTACCTCCACCTGCTTCATTTCCCTTGTTCAGGTTTTATTCAAGCAAGCTCTTGAATAAAAGAGCTTGGGGCACACTGTGCCCCAAAAGGTTGTTGACCGAATGGGGGCTATACAGAAACTTCACCCTCAAGTGTGAGCATTTGTATTTGTCTTTTTGTTCTTTGATGCAGCTTGATTTTTATGAAGTTTCACAGAGATATTATGAGCTGGAAAAAAATTGCCCCCATTTGACAGATGAGTGAACTAAGCACAGAGAGGTTCATGGCCGTGGTGGGAGCTTTGAGTTACAGCAGACACAGAGCGTGGGAACATTGCTGTCAGCCCTGACTGCTAACCTGCCACCCTCTCAGGTGCTCTGCTGAGCCTCAACATTTTCTCAGACAGACAGATTTCAAACATTCTACGAACTTTTTGCTTTCTTTTTTCGTAAGGTTATTTGTGTACATCAGGTTCAACTCAGATAAGAGACCAGAAATAATTAGCTGCCATTAGGCTGACAGGTAAAACATGGAGAAAAAGTTTTTAGAGGGTCTCTGGCAGTGTCAGACCCATCAGGGGTGGGGATTACTGAAGGAAGCCTCTCAAAACTCATATCAGAGTAGAAGATGGTGCCTATTGCAGTCATTTTTTTATTATGTGGAAAATTTTGGGGTTTTATTTGTAGTTCAGTTTGTCCATGTGATGTGGCTCAGGGGTAAATGGGTTCTGGCTCTCTTTGGGGCTCACATTACTGACAGCTGCAGTGTTCACTTAGAACTGGGAAAATAAAAACTAGTCAAAATTCAGAGAATAAGATTTATACTCAGACCTTCTGATTCAGCCAAAAACCTCTGCATTTTTCATGTCTTTTCATTAAGCTTTGCTTTTTCCATTGCCCATGGTCAGGCAGATCAGGAATTAATGTAATCAGGCACAGTCTAACTGGTATTGATGAAGTTTAGCTGATTAATATCAGTCCGAAATAATGCCTTGCATTATCGTAAATATTATTATAATTATGATTATGATGATTTGCCTCTTATGCTTCCATTCCATTTATTGGAATGCCTTCCTTCTTCGTTTATTTCCCACTCTGAATACATTCTACCTTTTTTTTAGCCTGCACTTTCCTCTCTTGATGTTCCCAGTCTCTCAGTCCTCTCAGAGGGAATGTGATCTCAGTGTCATTGTCTCTAATGTCCAGCTGGGACACCTGCATTTGTTAAGCAGATTTAAATGGAAAAGCATTTTGAGTCGCTCCTGTCCTCTTGCTGTCAGCTTGAGGGAGATTTCCTTTTGTTTGTCCATCTCCCCTTGATTTACAGACTGCTGAGCTGATGCAAGGCTGCAAACAGCTCCCAGTGAAGAAATAGGAAAGTGGGAGCAAAAATCTGCCTCTTCGTTGCTAGTGGCAGATTGATATTCTAGAGACATAGTAGCTTTTTCATGACTGTGTAAAATCATAGCAATGGAGAACTGTTTTCAAGTGGATTTCAGGAAGAAACAAGTAAATCGTGAAGAAAACCATGTTGTTCATTTTTATGTATTTTAGAGGATTACCTTCTAATTCTGTACACTGACCAAACTTGAAAAAATTTCACCTGCACTTGTTTGAAGATCTCTTATGCCTGATTTGCAGCATAAAATCCTATCTGTTGTGAAATGCACTCAGAAGCAGCTCAGACACTGCTTTGCATAAGTGTCCTGCAGTGCACAGTGCTTCATCCTTTCCTCTGACCCAGGGAATTTAGTTCACTTTTTTGCCATTAGCAGAAATAATCAAACAAGATCTTCAACAAAACTCAAGTATACCATAAGCTTTCTATGTGAACACATGTACATGATTTGATTTGTCAGATGCAAATTTTGTGTTTGTAGTGGAGACAGCAGTGGAGACAGCTGCTGAGAAAGGAATGAAAAGTGGGGTTTGGGGACAAATATTTGCTTTTCATTTATTAAGAAAAAGGCTGAGCAACAGTAGCAAGACTATTTTTAGAAGCAATGGGAGAACTATAGCCTATAAGCTGTGCATTATTGGAAGTGTTTATATATAGGTGTACAGGTATATATAGATATAGATATAGATATAGATATAGATATAGATATAGATATACAGATTAATAGAATTCCCTTGCTTTAAAAAATTTAATTTAATCAGCAGCTTTCTATTGCCTAGTTGAGTATTTACTTTAAACATTGTATTAAGTCTTCTTTAAGACAACGGAACATTCCTTGCTACAAGGATTTGTCCATCATGGTACAATACTGAGTCAAAGTAAATGGTAAAATACTGAGTCAAAGGGAATGAATAGGAAAGTAAACAGTCCTTCACTCTGTGTGTTCTTCTGGGGTGTGACAAAAGGGTAGATAGGAACCTGCTTTACAAATAGGAGAGGTTATTAGAACACAAGGACTTGGCGTCAGGCATTATCGTATTTTCTGTGCCCATGCCCAGGATAAAAATCTCCCCTCAGGTTCTAATTTCAGTTTGGGGCAATGTTTGAGGACTCAAGACAATGTAGGAATTTTAAATGTGTGGCATGTGCTAATGGATCATTGACATAAACCGGTTCTTCAGAGGCCCAGCAGCCTTACATTCCTTTGCAGGTAAGGTCACTGTCAACATGCTTAGTGCCCTGTATGTCAGGGTTACAGGTACTTGACACTTTGCAGGCAGCTTAGAAAAAAAAAAAAAAAAAAAAAAAAAAAAAAAAAAAAAAAAAAAAAAAGTACCACCACAAAAAGGCCTGCAATTCCTTCCTGCACTTCTGATTATTTTGTAAGGTAGAGTCTAATATTAGAGAGAGAGAATTGATAAAAGAATGCAAAGAAGCAGAGGTAGACTGGACTGAAGCCATGTACATGTGTGAGTGGGTTATTCCCTAAGTAGGAGAAGAAATACACATAAGCCCTTTCTCCTTTCCTCTGAGGGAGGCATCTGCAGCAGTTTAACACTTCAGTGGGTCCTGGCAGTTAGTAAATCTCTCTCAGGTTCTCATAGCTTAGCTAATACTGGCACCCAGGCAAGACCACAGCTGTGCTATAACAAGATTTGGTTTCAGTGAAATTTCTTCAGAAGGAACTATTTTATCATGCCATTGGATAATGAGAATAAATGTCTCAGTGGAAAATTCTCATGAAAAATTCATTCCTAACATGCCCTGAGAATGTACTCTTGATAGCTACACATTTTTAAGTCTTGTCAGCTTTCAGTTTCTCTTTTCCTTTTTGTTTTTTAAGACAAAATACTGCAATGTGCTCTTTGTGTGTGGTCAAGTGATTAAATATCAATATTCTGGCTTTAAACCTTTTTTTTTTTTGTAGCAATAATAACAGCAGAAACAACAATAACTAGTAGTAGTAGAAATAGTAATAGTAGTAGTAGTAGTAGTAGTAGTAGTAGTAGTAGTAGTAGTAGTAGTAGTAGTAGTAGTAGTAGTGATGGTGGTGGTGGTGTCTGGCTTCCTTGAGTGAAATAAGAAGATGTACATTACTTACAGTAATCATCTTACCCTGCAGCTCTACCTATAGAATTTAGTCACTGAGCTTAAAGCAAAAATAAAATTGAACTTTTTCAGCTTACATTTCTTCATTATGAATTGCCAAACAGGAAACTGAAATTTCCTAATAAATGTAGATACTTGCCTATTTTGTGCTATGCTAATGTTCTATCAACTGCACAACTCTACAATGCTCTTAAAACTTTTGAAGGCTGAACAGAACCTGTACCATGTGTTCCCATTCCTCAGAATCAGTATTGATATTCTACTCAGTCTAGTTTCTAGGTCTTTTAGGTAAGAGCTATCCTATGTGCTTTTTCCAAGTTAAAATGCTCATTCTTGTGATTATTCCACAGTCTGCCTTTTATGCCACATCAGAAATACTCCAGTGGCTGTCCCAGCCTGTAAGAGCCTTCACAGATGGACCCCTTCACCACACGTATTCTTTCCACATAAGAAATTTGGAAAACTAATCACAAATTCCCTTTTGGTCTCACTCATCACATCTACCCTGCAAAAACACTGTCATTGCCACATATTTCTACTTACTTCTTTGTTCTGAGTGGATTTGTGAGGCTTGGAACTGTATTTTGAGAGGGAAACCGTGATACAATAGCTAAATTATCTTCACCTTGATTTTTCTTTTTATCTTACAGAGCAAAATATTAACTCCTACCAATATATAATGTACTTGATTATTGGTTTTAATTCATTAAAAAAAGCTTTCATCTTAGTGTGTTCTAGGTAGACTTATTCTTTGGGAGGTTTGCCATTCATGTCATCAGTTATCCTAGCATTTTATTATAAGATATGAATATATCACATCCTGCAGTAGCTTCCTTTTACCTGTTCATATTGTGTTTTGGTTTAAGATCATTAGGATAAATTCTGCCTCTGTGTGTCTGTACAGGAACAGAATATACTGATTTTGATTGATCTTGTTGTATAGAATGGTAACAGTAACATTAATAACTCCAATCTTATCATGACATGTTCATATATGAGAATAATACTGTGATAGTATTCCTGCATAAGGAATCATCTCATCATTCTTACTGACTCCAAACCATAGAAATTACTGAACATTTCTTCCCTTCCTCTTTGGCATAGTGTTTGCTTAGATGGTTTCCTTTAATAATTTACGAAGGTTAATCTGCTTTTTTATTTCTCCCTCTCTGTATTACATGGTCTCACCTATTGCAGATCAAGGAACTGTACAGAAAGTTGTTGTCCTACCCACCAACTTCTCTGCAAGTGGAGAACTCATTTTGGAAGAGATGGAGGTTTTTCAGGTTTGGCTTTCTCCTCCTTTTGTTTTTCCAGTGTGTATGTTCACACAAACACTTTGTTCTAACAGACTTTGGCAAGGGCAACTGTGATTTGGTAAAGGATCAAGTAACTGTGCATGCTGTCAGTTTGAAAACCACATAAAGATTACAAAACATTAGCTGTTATGAAGGCTAGAGCTAACTGAAGCCTTTCCTTCTCCTGTATTTCAGTTGCCTATTTTTTATGTTGATACACTGACTAGAAGGATTTTGATAATCAGTTTTTTAGGAGTCATGTTATAATGGCTTCCAGAAGGAGACTTTTATCATTGGCATCACTATAGAGGCTGTAGCTGTGTATGGTTGGAATTTCAGATTTATGTACTTTGATTATCTGAAGATCTTCCTAGTTCTCATTTGCAAAATGAAATCAAATTAGTGGATTTTTTGCTTAACTCCTGTTCTTCAAAGTCACATGCCTCTGGAGTCAAGAAAGCTACAAGTTTAAAAGAACATAAGCTGAAAAGAAACACAAAAACTACAGGGAGATAAAGGAATAGGCTCTGTCAATCACTCTGCCATGTAACAATTGTAATAACCTAAAGAAAATGTTCTCCCTCATGTTAAAAAACCCCTCTCAAATATTTGGATGGGCTATTGATTAAACAGTAGTCTTGGGGCAAGTGGTAGTATGTGTCTATAAACTTAGTTAAGGATTTTGTCATGGCCTTTTCTCTATTTTATTAACATAATACAAAAAGGAAAATTTAAGCTTATTTATTGAGGCAGCATTAACAGTTTCCTTAAGAAAAGGAACACTCATAAAGGCCTCTGTGTTAACACTCATAAAGGCATAGCTAGTCTTCCTAGGCTTTCATTGAAGACTTCCTGCTGAAAAAGATATATGTGATTGATATTATATAAAACACATTCTTCACCAGAAAGTGCAGATTCCATTTACTGAAACATAAATTAATGTTTCAGCACAAAAATAGGTGGGTTAAGAGGAATCTCAGCCTGAGCATAGTTTCTGGGCCTCTGTGGACAGACCTTTTTAACCTGAACCCTAAAAACCATGATATCATAACTTCTGCTGTTACAATCTGTGTGGCATCTTGATGCTAGAGACTCTCCAAGAGATCAGGGATAAAGTCATGGGGCCTGTGCTAGTTAATATCAAGGGTAGCAAAGAAGAGATCCCCTTTCAGAGTAAACAAGGAAAGGAGAATGTGGCATCAGGTCCAATGTTGCATTTGACCTGCAGACTCCAAACAGTTCATGAAGCAGCTCTAAACTTCCCCAAATCTTTGCCAATTCACATGATTCACAGACAGATTTTCTAGTCCTGACCTCCCTGCTGTGTTGTGGTCATCTGCAATTAATCCTAGCCCACTGTTATGGCTTTCCTTTGTGACTGAGCAAATGTTGAATCGTAAAAAAATGCTGAACATTTTTATTACCATCAATTTTATCACTTGTTTGGATGAACATAACCCCTTAAGGCAAGAAAAGTAACAATTCCTTTTCCAGCTCTTTAATATTTGATTTGGACACAGAAATTAATAGACTGCTATGATGACACACAGTAGTATACAGTACTGTCTCTGGGAAAGAAATGTTCAAGAACACTCAGGCCATTTTAAAAGAATGTAGTAATTAACAATCTGAATGTATATGTTGCGTGGTAACCAAACCATATGAACTGTAGATAATTTATAAGAAAAGGATTTTGTATTCTTGTCTGGATCATGTGGTAAATATTCATGAGCTATTTTAATTATGAGCTATTTGATTTTTTTTTTATTTGATTCACGAGCTATTTCATTTTTCCTTATCATCATCATTAAAGAAAAAATGTTTCTTATTACAATAGTAAAGTAATGACTCCTCTATTTCTGAGATAGCACAGATGCAGGTTAATTATAAGTGTACAAAAACCTTTTAGATACATGTAATAATAATGTCTTGAGTTTCAGCAATGTATTTTGTGAGACATTCATTGTTTAAATGACATTTGTTTAGTTCTGAAAATAGCAGTACTTAGTAGGAGTGAGTGCTCCCTTTCCAGGATATAAAAATGTATAGTTTTCTTAGATATTACTTAGGTTTTGGTGACTTTTAAATATTAATTTTGGGACAGAGTGTTTGACAATGGTTTGTAACTCTGTCTTTCAGAGTAATTCTCCTATAACAACAATGAAGATTTCATCTAAAAAGGTAAGGCAAAGTGGAATGCCTGCTTAGTGCTTATTAACTGAGAAGTAAATTGGCTTAGATGTTAGAATATCAGTTCTTGTAGAGCACACTAAATTGTAGGTGAATTTTCCATAACGAGTACAGAAAACTTGAGTGACATTTGCAGGAGCTGTTTATATACCCTTGCACTAAAATAAACCAATTTCTATTCATTAAGTATAATTTCTAATTAACTGAAAGTGTCGGGTCTCTTGTTATTTTGATTTACAGTTAAGGAATCAAAAATAAATTCTAAGAGAGGAAATTCACCCTCCCTGTCTTTTTCTCTAAAGTCCCAAATAGAAATTTTTCCTTGGAAGTCTGTCTGATCAGTGTTAAAAAGGGCAGCGTTGGCTGTTGGGTCCATGGTGCAATTGTGCGTGTTTGTTCAGTAGTAATAAACAATAGCAGTAAGAATTGTTAAAACAGCTGAGAGGATTTTCTGCTGAAATACTTAAAACGAAAGCTAAAAATGTGTATTCTATGGTTTTGCAAGAAAGATGTTGCTCAATATTTTACAAAGCTACCACTAAGTAAGTATTATTCAATAATTCAATTTCAGTATGCTTTTTCATTTTTATGACAAGAAGATCAAAGGAATTTCAAGGGGTTTTGTTCAATATTAATTTATAGTTTTAGAATGATTAATTGTTTTTTGAGTAAAACAGTCATTTTGGCCCAGATTTTGGTATTGATCTACTCCCTTTGAACTTCTCTTGCAAAAGCTGTGGTGTATTGTGAAAGTTCTCTTGGCTTATTTTTCCAGGTTTATAAGGCTATCAGAATCTGGCCATAAGCCTCAACATAATCTCTAGGTTTTACATCTTGGAAATATACGCACTGGAGGATCCAACTAGGAACTCTGCATAATATTTATTAAAGTGACTGTGTGCAGAGAAAATACTTAGTTCAAAGGCTTGAGCCAATAATCCTCACTGAATAAGAACCAAGTCCCCAAATCTGAGCAATATTAAGTCAGCCTGTCTGCCCCAAAACAGAACAATGACACTCAATGTCCAAAAAACCATTAACATTCCCCAGTGTTTCTAGGTGTTTTCTAGCAGGAAGGTGAAAATAATATATGCCTGATCACCTGGGAGATTTCTGTTGATCTTGACTTTATATGTATTCTTGGCTCCCCTCTTAGTCTTGAGTTAATTCCAAAATTAATTGAAAGGCTCTTTGGGTGTGTTAGCCAGGTCTTGGGTGAAACTTCTCCACATGTGAGCTAAATCTTCCCATTTCCTCCTGCAGCAACAGTTGTATGTGAGCTCGGATGAAGGGGTCACCCAGGTCTCCTTGCATCGCTGCCACATCTACGGGACTGCCTGTGCAGACTGCTGCCTGGCCCGAGACCCATACTGCGCCTGGGATGGCAACTCCTGCTCCAGGTTTTATCCCACAGGAAAAAGGTGAGCAGTATTAAGCAGCCCAGTGAAGTTTGCAAGGGAAGATGGCTTTTGTTCTGAGTGTTGTGATGTGATGGAGAAGTGGGATGTCATTCCTTTCATTAGCATGTACAAACAATACCCCCATAGCTGTTGTGCTTGGAGTTATTCATCACCTAGGACTGTATGCTGCAAGAGTGTGTGGTAAAGAGATTGGTTTTTCGTATTTAAAGTAATTGATGGAAGAAAAAAGAAAAGGAAAAAAATGGTTCTTAATCATAAATATTAATCTTTCTGTCTCACGCACACAAAATCAGTGAGACATTTGTTCCCTTCATTTAAATTCAATTACTTACTATGGATGCAATTATGATAGCCCTAAATACAGCAAAAGATCTCTCAGGCTGTCTGAGGAATAAACTCATTTATATTTTTTTGATCCTCATTTGTTCCTAAGCGAGAAGAATTATTTTCAGGAAAATTTTAGGCAAATGTGATTTCCATGTAATGCATGTGGATTTGGGGTTTTTGACATGAGGTTTATTAAAGCAGACAGGGAAAGCAATTTCTGTTTAATTTGCAGCAGAACTAATAGTCCATCTCATAATCTTATGCAAAACAAGAGTCCCTTCCTTCCTCCCAGGGGAAATATTTAATAGCAGAAGGCTGTAGTGAACTCTTGTCTTAATAGGATTTCACTCATATACAAACAAAGCTACAGAATACACAATGAAGTGTTCCTGCAAAGGGAACAAACCTTTCAGATATATGCTTTCTACAACTACCTGGAAGGAGGTTGTAGCCAGCAGGGGTTGGACTCTTCTCTCATGTGACAAGCAAAAGCACAGGAGGAAACAGCCTCAAGTTGTTCCAGAAGAAGTTTAGATTGCATTTTCTAGAATCATAGAATCATGAAATATGCTGAGATGGAAAGGACCATCAGGACCACTGAGTGCAACTCCTGGCCCTGCACAGGACACTCCAGGAATCATACCATGTGCCTGGAAGCATTACCCAAACACTTCTTCAAGGTTTGGTGCTGTGAGCACTTCCCTGGGGAGCCTGTTCCAGTGCCCAGCCAGGTGGCTGAAGAAGAACTTTTCTTGATATCCAGCTTAAACCTGTGACTGTACTCAGTGTCTGCGCCTGAGCTGCAGGTGCAGAAGGCTACACACAGTCACTGGGTTTTACTCCTGTTCCCTCATAGAAGGAGACAGTTGACAGAAACAGGCAAAGCTTAGATCTGCTGATAATAATGTCATCCCCTGGACAATTGTTTTTGTTATTGTAAAGTTTTCTTGATTCATTCTTTACCTGAGATTACAAGGTAAAGCCCAAACTGCCCACATAGCAATGGGTAGAGTACATGGGGTTGCTAACTGCTTTCACTGAGAATATTCAGCCACCAGTCTGCAAACTCATTGTTTACTTCCATGGAACAAAGGTCAGAATACGGGGGAGGAAAGAAAAGGAAAATCCCCAAGTCTCAGGCCACCTAACTCCTGCAGTAACACAGCTGCTGAAAGGTACAAGGAGCAGTCAGGTACACCCAGCCTGTGCAGTTTCCAGTTTACCATCCCCTTTATATACACCCACGCAGGGCTATTTCCACTGGGGCTTGCTTTCATGATGATATTTTGTTTGCAATTTGCTCCTTATGTCAAACCAAAATAAACACCTCTAACTGTATGGAAAAAGATCTGGTTTTCATATGTGAAGGAAATGAGTTGTCTCTTTATCTAACAAGGACAAATTATGAACGAGAAAACATTGGTAATTAGAGCCAAATCCCATTGTCTAGACAGTAGTTTCTGCTGTATGCATTTGCTTATTTGCTTCTTTTGACACTTCTGTCTCCCGTGAATTACTGTAGTTCCTCATGCAACATCAATTTACCCCATAACACCTTATGGTATTATTTTATTTTCTAACTACCACTTTTTTTTTTTTAAAATAATACCTAAGTGCTAAGTTTACATTCTCAGAACTGCTTAATGCAAGCAACGTGCTATCCCTGACAGTGTGAAGCAGTTCATGGTAGCACAAGAACTCTGACATTAATTTAGAAATTCCTCATGGCCTTGACTCATGTAAATAGTTCACAAGGGTTAAGACCCCAAGGCATAAAATGAAATATTTTTGATGGTAAACATAAAAACTACTCTTGGAATTTCAGTAATTACTCCTTTGAAACATCACCTTTCAAATATTTCCTTTTCAAACGATGCAGTGAGGGATCAGGTGACAAGGGATTATGGGCTCTCTCTCTTTGTTTGTGCATTACCTGGTATAATGTGGTCTTAGATGTGTCACCCTTGACTTAGTTGTACTGGAGCTCCAGGGGCTTTTTGTAGTTTTTGATCCTCGGGTGCTTAGTGCATGGTTCAGAATACAGCTGAATATGCCAGCAGTGTCCATTTGCAGCAATCTATCACCAGTGCATTTTTTCTTGAACTTGATAAATACCTTACATAATATTTAGCAAAGAAAATAATATGTCTTAATAATAAAAAAAAATTAATAATATAAAAAATTGTGCACCAGCTTTTCATGCACTGAATTCTGTGAGCTGTGACTTGCTAGCTGGGGAGGACTGAAATGCCAGTATTCCCAGTAAGCTCCCCAGACAGTTTGCTACAGAATCATGATTTTACATCTGTCATCCAGATTATATACTAAATTCCCTATTAAGAAGTATCCTGGTACTTGGTAAGTTTTTTTTTATATTTTGGAAATAGTCACATCTCTTCAAGTAGAAGACAGAACAGAATCTTTACTCTCCACCATTCTGTATGAGTACTTTAGTCACTCTGCTATGAAGGTGGCTATAGGCACCAGAAATAAGTTACTTGCTAAAATGGAGGTAGGAACATGCCTTTTATCATAATTTTGTGCTGATGTGTCAGATATGAGCAGTATGAATCTTATGCATTTCATTGTTAGCTGCTTGCCTTCATGAAGTGTTCTAGCTGGGGTTTTTGGCTTTGAATGCTGAATATTGTGAGTGAACAGAGGTCTCTTTCATGTATCACCTCCCATCCTTCCATCCTTAAACCTCCATAGCAAAACTGCTTTACCTGCAAAACCTGCACCTGTTTTATAAGCTTCAAGAGATACTTCTCCTAAGCAATATCTTCACACCAAAAAGCTTGCCAAGAGTAAAGCACACTCACAGTAGGTCATGAACTATCCCTAACATTTGATCTAGTTAAAAAAAAAAAAAAAACAAAAAAAAACCCACAACAAATCTACAAATTAAAAAGTGGTTATTTTCAGTGTAGCTATCTTGGAATAATATTTTGTTTTTACAAAATATTGCAGGAGGAGCCGTAGACAAGACGTGAGACATGGAAACCCTCTGACTCAGTGCCGAGGTTTCAACCTGAAAGGTACTGTAATTTAGAGATACTCATGCTATATAAAGCACACATGGTTTTCCTTTATATTATTCATTATAACTGACATTATCAGTACGGTTTACTGGAAAAGCATAATTATTTTCCAAGTCTGAGTTTTGTTTTGATTTGGTTTTAGCATCTTTCCTTGCAATTATATGAAACTTGCACATATATGATAAAATGTTGAGCCATGAAATACATAGTTCAGCATATTTGAATTGAGAAGCTGACACTGTTGGCTAGAAAAAGGTAAAGTTAATTTGAGGACTTTTCTACCTCTGTTTCCCATCAGTCTTTATTAATGCCTTTTCATTTATTTAAGCTTTGGACCTCCAATTTTTTCTGAATATTTGATCCCATACTGAGTTTTGGAGCACACCTTTGAGCAAACAGCAGGGTCTAGGCTGGCCTGTCTTTTGATTTATGATTACTCCCTTCTCATGGGGGAAAAAAACTATTCCAAATTTCTTTATAGAGTCTCTTATTTCCAGCTCTTTAGTCAGCCTGGCGTGGTGAGTATGGCCAGGGGAGCCAAGGCTTTGCCCTCCCAGCCATCACTTTCTCCAGATAGATGGACACCAGTCAAATATGCTCAAAGTCATAGGAGTAAACACATATATAAAGGAAGCTCAATCTTCTTCAGCCCCATGCATGTCTGAGCTAGACAGTGTCAATGTATGCCATCAGACCAAGTGCACATAGAGAATTATGCTCCTTTCACCTCTGTTATGAGCCTGAATTTTGTAGTATATTCTCATCTGTACCACCTGGTGACCAAGTAATAGAGCCGATTAAAAATGTTTTTATTGATGTTTTTCTAATCAAAGAACAATGCCTTAAGAGTTACATGTGAAAGGTTCTGTTAATAAAAATTCTACTGAAATAGTCTCCACTAGTTGTTGGAATAATCTTCTGAATCAGAAAAGACTACAGAAGTCAGTTGGATGTAGATCACTCTACTTAAATGAGCCTTTCCCCATGAGTCAGGATTAGGTCATTTATGTGAAGCTGAAGAATTTGAACAGGCAATTCCAAGAGATGGCCCCAGTATTAGAAAATACACCTGAGCTCTGAGAGATCCGTGTTGAAGCAAGTGAGCTACGTGTCTTCCCCTGCAGGCATCTGCTGAGACCTCCCACCCATTGTCTGTCCCAAGGGTGGGTGTCTGCTCCTTCCATGTGGAAAATATGAGAATGTCAACTGTCTGCATTCTGCCCTGAGGGGGGATAATTGTTTCAACCTTGACAGTCTTGCGAAACAGGTTTCTTGTTTTCCAGCCACTTTTGTAACGTGGATATATTTATAGGTTTATGTATTTTAGCATCTTTGACAAGGAAGTTTCAGTGGCAGCAGTGGGATATAGGGTAGGTAGATGGCAGTTGTTTTCCAGAAAAAAAAAAAAAAAAAAAAAAAAAAAAGATGAAAGAGCAATTTAGACACTTGCAAAATATAATTAGAGCCATTTATAGCAAAATGACTATGTTTGGGGGAAAAAATGAAATCTACCTAAAGGACAAAAGAGCAGAGAGCCAAGCAAAGCCAAGGAATCTTCCAAGCTCATAAAGAGCCATAATGCTGAATCCAAGTCTTTAAACATGGTAGACCTCTAAGCACATATAAACTTAACATTTTTGGCACGTTGTTATTTTTAAATAAATCATCAAGAACCAAGCAATCTTGTATGTTTCCATTTCAGATCTGTTTAATATTGTTATGTTCGTGTTAGCCCTTATAGCCATTACAGAAATGCATTTTGAATGTGAAGTATTTCCTCATTGTTCTCCTAAAAGTTAGAATTGGTTTTGTACAGCTTCCTAAATGTGCTGAAGGACTAGAACCAGGTAAAGTCTCCCTCCTTCAGAAGAATGGATTTCAATTTCACATATCAGTTGATGAAAGAAACAGAAAACAGTAGGAGATAAAACAGTCTGAGAAAAGCCAGTCTTAGGACTGTGCAAAACCTGAATCAGATTTTAGACATGCAGGTATTTGCAGTTCTCATATTATTTCAATTAATTTCCATTGCTCCTTTCTCAAAAAAATGTATTTCATATGTGAGACAAGTTTTTAAATCTGGAGGTGCTTTGTTTTGAGGACAAACATTATGATTTGGACCAAGCAATAAGCATCCAGAAGTTCCTACTGGTGACTGCCAATTATTCATCTGTGGAGACTATAAAGGGACACAAGAAGTTTAAGTGATGACATATGCTCAGCACTTGCCCAGGTGTTGCTGGAGTGTTATAAATCTGTCTTTCTCTCTGTTGCTGGCCTGTCTACATATTCATCACATTTCCAGCTGAGAGCCAAGTCCCTTCCTTGTGTTGGAAGAGAAGCAGAGGGGCAGGAGCCCAGCCTGCCCTCTCTCTCCTCCCTGGGATGCTGCACTCAGCTGGAGCAGCTGGAGCCTTCTTTAGGGCATGATGCTTTATATTGGTCATACAACCATATTCCCCCAACTCATAAATGGTGAAGTGTGAAGAAATAATTAAATGCTTCATTCTCTTTTGGAGTAGTAGACAATTAGATAATTTCACCAAAAAAAAAAAAATATCCCTCAGTTCAGTTATACCATCAGCAAAGTTTATCAGCCTATAGGTGTCCTAATTTCTCAGAACAGACCATGTCACTCTGGAAACATTGGTATTTGAAACTGAATTTGCTTCTTCACATTTCATTTAATTTTTTTGAAAAAAAAATTCTCCAAAATTACTTCTTTTTGGCCAATATCAGAATCAGGCATAATTCATTTAATCTATATTGCAAAGAATTACATGTTTTCTTAATCAAATCACCATTCACAGTATCCTGACCTGTTTTCTTTTTCTTTCTTTCTTTCTAGCATACAGAAATGCTGCAGAAATAGTGCAGTATGGAGTAAAAAACAACACCACCTTTCTGGAATGCACACCTAAATCTCCTCAGGCTTCCATTAAATGGCTGCTACAGAAAGACAACGACAGGAGGAAAGAGGTGAGTGATGTGAACAGGAGCTCTGGGAGGATCCTCAGTCAGCATAACACTCCCTCCCCAGTCAAAGGGAGGGAACAGTTTGTATTTTTATCAGGCAGTCTGGCTACAGTGAAGCTGGAGAATTTGTGTGGATGCAGGACAGTGGCCATCATTTACTCATAAGAGCACACTCAGTACAGCTGAGACTTCATCCTCAGCCCCACTGACTTCTGTCAGATCAGAACAGCTACCAGAAAATTAAAGAATCTTTGCTTTGCACCTTACTGACTGCAAACTGAAGGTTTGCAGCACTCAGAACGTCTTATTGATCTAAGGGAACGGGCACAAAAGGAAGAACTTGTATAAAGTTCAGGAAAAAGTCAGCATGCAGTAGCTCCTCTGTGCTATTGAAGAGATAAAAGGCAAAAGTGGGAGAAATGTGAAAGGTTTCTTTAGCAAGAAACTAGTCCAGGCAAAGAACGCGTATTGACAAAAGCATTTCCTCACCATGGTGCAATCACATTTTCCATTACTGCACTCTCTAAGGCTCTCGAGTTTCAGCACTGTAATATACAGTATGATTGTTTATGGGGAATGTGCCTTCCTTAAGTAATATAAAAGGGGAAAATCCATTTCAAATCCAAGGCACTTACTATATGAATAAAAAGAAACATCTTTCAAAAGGAACTTTTAAGTAATGTGGTGTCTGTTGATAGGTTATAAACACTGTAAAGTATTATTCTCCTATCAGGTAATTTTATAAAAACAGAGGGAATTATGAATGTCTCACTGAGTTTTCTAACTATTCAAAGCCATGTCCTGGCAATATGTGCAGTTATTTAACCCATTGCTTCAGCAGAATATCTCCCTTTTTTTTGTTCTTATGTTCAGTAAATATATTAGAATCAATGCAGTTTTATGGTACAACAGGCTGAATAAAGCAATCAAAGTGTTAATTAGTTTTCAAGCTCTCAGATGTCTGGAAATCTTCCACAATGTCTACAAAAGTCTACAATAGCAGAATAACATAATAAGTAAATTAGTTCCCAAGAGAACAAAGTATAATGCAAAGTACAGTAGCAAAATAGAAAAAACATTCAGAAAAATACCAGCAGTGGTTTCCATTTATAATGGATTGAACAAGCAATTTTTACTTCTTACTGATATGCAAAGGGACATCTGCACATTCATTTATAATTGGATGATAACAAGCTCTGGTAACTTGCTTTCAGATGATGTGAACATCTCCTGGGACAGTGCAGAGTCTGAAGCCAGAAAGGAAATAGGAGAGTAGCTGTGCTCCTGGTTAACATTGAGCCAAGTCCCACTTGAGACCACTGTGGTGATAATTTTTATAGGCTACAGACTCTGCAGAGCAGATAGAGTTGTTCCGCAGGAACCTGCTCAAAGTCAAAATACTTAATGAGAAGCCACCTTGAGTTCAATGCTAAATTAGTCTCCCTGGTCCTGCACCTTTCTTCCACTGAGTCTCAGTAGCAAGCTCTTGATTCTGAAAGAGACATTCTCAGGAGTGCAACAGGGCAAATAAAAGTTCAGTTCTTCAACTCTACTATTTGAACATTATGAAAAGTTCTATTTCATGTTGTTTCCAGATTTTCATCTTTGTCTACATCCTGATCAAATTTATTCTAACATAAAAAATAAAATTATTTAAGTCGTTTTATTTAGCAAGATTTGCATTCCTTTGGGTAAGCTCCCTTCTAAAGGTAGCAATATTGGTGGTCTCTTGAAGATAATTATATAAAAATGTAGTAACTTTGAGAAAGTCATGTTTGAAGTGAAGCTTACCAGAAGGTCCAGTACTCTGTTGTTCCATAACCTTCCCTAAAAGGTTCCTTCTGCCTTTTTGCTCTCCAGGTCAAGCTGAACGAGAGGATCATAGCTACGGAGCACGGGCTCCTGATCCGCTCTGTGCAGGACAGCGACCGGGGCCTTTACCACTGCATCGCAACAGAGAACAGCTTCAAGCAGACCTTGGCAAAGATCAATTTCAAGGTGCTGGATTCGGAGGTGGTGGCTGTCATGACTGACAAGTGGTCCCCTTGGACCTGGGCCAGCTCGGTGCGAGCACTGCAGTTCCACCCCAAGGACTTGGTGGGGGCTTTCAGCCACTCCGAGATGCAGATGATTAACCAGTACTGCAAAGACAGCAGGCAGGCAGGTCAGCAGAGGGAAGAATCCCACAAGATGAGAGGGGACTATAGCAAACTAAAGGCTCTTATCAATAGCAGAAAAAGTAGAAATAGAAGAAATCAATTACCTGGATCTTAATTTTATTTTATAGTAATAGATATTTTTGTCCTCAGTGTAGGGGGCTTATATTTGTCTATTGTGAACAAATTTGTGCAAATCTGATAAAAAATTAAATTAAAATCCAGTAAGCCTCATAAAATATCTGTCTCCCAATTAAATGCAGTGTAACCTAAGAAAATAACTCAGAGCATTTTCTTTCCTAGATGCTTAGTGACTCTAGGTTGAGCTCTGTCCTAGAATCAGCACTGGGTATTCATCTTAATCCAGATTCACCTTTAACATCTCAGTATTTAATTACAGCTGAATAGAATTTTTTACAAAATCAGTGCATTGTCTTCCGACTCTGGAACTGTACCAAGTAGACTCGTGGTGAAAGAATCTGGGTTAAGAAGCATACTTAGACTAGGATGGTACTAAGATTTCCTTGCACTGTGTTTAAGAACATGAGTTTCTTCTTGTTTACTGCTCAACATTGGGTTTACAGCTTTCACTCATCGATCAAATCACGTGAATCCATGCAGATAGGAAGCAAGTAAAGTGTAGTAGAAATGTTTCATTTGCTCAGAGGTCAAATGAAGGAACAAACAGAAGAAAAACAAAGAATTTATACTTTATCAGAGTAAGCACTGATTATTGTGCATAGTGTGAGTTGTAATAAATTAATGAGTTCTGGAATGTAACTTAATATCTCTGCTCATATTGATTTTTATTAAAATAGGGAGTCCTATAACACTACATAGCTTTATAAGTCGCACAATGGTAAAATGAGAATGTTCATTATACATAAAAATTTGAAAAACACCTAAGTGACTTAGGTATTTTAGCTATTTTTCAAAGGATTACACTCCAATTTCTTTTCAAAGGACAGAATGTAGATATACAGTATAGTGCTTGTTCAGAAATGAAAAATATAGATTATCTTTATTCTGTTCTATGATTAAATTGGAGCTGGTCTGCAATGTGGAAACAAGTCATAAGTGTCTTTGAAAATTTTAAAATATTATTTTTTCAACTGTTTTCTCAAAGTTGCAAATATTTTAACTAGAATTTTCTAATTAAACCATTCCCATTTTCTAGTCTTTGTACCCTTATTCTTTTCCATCTTATTTTCCCAATTTGCTCCTATTTTCAGTTCTGTGCTAAAAAGAGTTGAGGAAAAGAAAAGAAGAAAAAAAAAAGGAACGAGGGAAAAATAAAACTGAAAAATGGGTTTAGGCCAAAAACCAAAAACTCTAACTTGAGAGGCATGTTCAAACAGAAATCTGTTGTTTAAGAAGCAGCTGTCAGGTCTAAGGAAGCAAGTTTTGTTGAAAATTGGGTGAGTGTGCACCAAGCCATTCTAGGAAATGCAATCAGTTTTTATTTTTGAGCAACCCAAATGCCATAAAGAGGGACAGATCATCCACCCTTTTACTATGTAAGAGTGTTCTGGAAGCCACTGAGTCTGTTCAACCAGGGATTAAAAATGTATGAGTACCCTAGAAAAATCACAATTATTTATGGCATGATACAAAAATAGAAACTGATGTTCAGCTCAAAACTAAGCTATGTTAAGCTTAAATTTTGCTTTAATTAGAATAGTCTGGGGGTAACTCTACAGGGCATGGGGAAACACTTCTGGGTGTGTGCCTGTGTGAATTCAGTTTAATGCAAGGGAGGTAGCACTGGTATTTATCTGCCATTAGCTGGATTGTCACTTTATCACCACCTCATGAAGGAAAACTGGGAAATTAGCCCCGATCACACCATTTAAACAGTCTCTAAATCCCTTTGATGCTGGTGGGATCTCTTTGAATTTAATTTGTGTGCTTACTGCTAGCATGGCAGTGCCAGCCTGCTCATATATTGCCATCTAGTTAAGTGCTCCCCTTACTCAGTGTGTATTTCTGCAATATTTAGCCATTAATAACTAAAGCCCTTCTTATGGAAAAATCAGGATACTTTCTCTGACCTCCATGAGATTGAATTTTACTCCAAGAGCTGGGAAAGTAGGTTCTGGAGAAATCTGGCTTTTTTGTTGTTGTTGGTGGTGGTTTTTTTCCTTTTTTTTTCTTTTTTCCTTTTTTCATTTTTTTCTTTTTTCCTTTTTTCTTTTTTTCTTTTTTTTTTCTTTTTCCCCCAGTATGACTGACTTCTGAAGTGTGTAAGTGGCAAACCAAACATCAAGTGCCATGAAATAGATCTACCTCCTGGAATGACACAAGTGCATATTCTCTGTATGCTGCCATGCTCTTCCTATCTCCCCAGCAGATTCACTGTTAGTGTGATACTAATGTGTATTGTGAGGATCATAATTGCTTCCAGATGGAATACAGTGATTAATAGATATTTCAGGGTACAAATTGCCCTTTAAGTGGTAGGTACAGCGATATTTTAATAGGCCCCCATTAGGCCTCAGAAATTACAGTTACACTGTTTTTTAGTAGAATATTGGCAATAAGGGATTCCATTAAAACAATCAGCATAGCTCAGAGTTTCATATGATTATAAAATAATATTTTTAAAGCTGCTTCATATACCATTATTATGGTACGACTGTTTAAGGGATTATACTTAAACTAACATTTTTCCTGCTGCATGAGAACTCCAATATATAAATATAATAAGCTTCTGTCAGTGCATAACTGGTCCAAGCTTCCATGCTTTAGGAGCCTTCCCGCATGTATAGAGAAATCAGGAACCAGATGCTCAGCTGCTATAAACAAATAATTTCCTTGCTGTCCTTACGGCTACTGGGGTTGATATCAGCAGAGTGTTTGGCCTTAAATGTACAGAATAGACAAACTGCAATTTTTGTTTAAAGTAGCCCCTCTACTGTAGGTAACAACAAAACTTAAGACTGTAATATTATTTGTGCTATTTAATACTTCCTATTTTGAGGATTTCTAAATAATGTATATAATTTTATTCCTTAAATAAATGCAAAAGCAAACTGACTTCTAGGCATAACTTCACCAAATGTAAAGATATGTTCTCTGCCAAGAACTTCACCGTGTGCTGGTATTTTTTTTTTGCCTTTTTATTTTGTGTAGTTTGTAAAGTTTGCTGAAATCTTGACCTAACAATGTGTTCTTTGCAATTGTTGTTACTGTAGATATGCGTGTTTTATTAAGAGAATCTTGGTTTTAAAATTGTAGGTATGTGTATAAGTTCCTAGCATGATGAAACTGTCATGACAGTGAATATGCATCATATAATGTGTAAGAAAGAACAAAATGTAGTTTAACATAGTACTATTTAATTGAATATCTAAAATTCCCAACAAAATAAAGTGTGTTGCAACAATTAAAAATTTGTTGGTTCCCCTTTATGGATGTGCACTAAAAAAAGGAACTTCTTTTTTTTTTTTCTTTTTTTTTTCTCTTTTTTTTTTTTTTTTTTATTAATTAAGAACAGAGCCTGAAAAGCAATTCTGTAGGTTTTCCAAATAAGTACAAGAAAATATTTGGAGCATCAGGTATTGTAGCTGGTCAGTTCCAAGCCCTGCTCTGGACTGAAGCCCCAGACACAGAGATAACAAGGAACTCATGAGGAGTCAGAGATTAATTCTTTCAGAGATTATCCCATATAACCATCTTGCATAAAAGCTTTATTCATTGTTTAAAAAAATAATTTAAAAAATTGTTTTCTCCTAGGAGTATAAAGTAAATCAGAAATGTCTGACTAAAAGAGGGGAGTGAAGTGTAAATGCTTTTTTCTTTTATTACACTGGGGAGGGGGGGTGAAGTACATTCTGTGAAATCCTGATTCTTTCAGCTGAGACTCCTGGCATTCTCCAGGCATCTCTGCAGGGAGGACAGGCTACTGGGGCTGCACCACAGGGAGTCACAGCTCTCTCCCAGTTTCCTGGCTTGTTCTTGGAGTGAAATAACCTGCCTGACACCTAGAGTATGCTTCTTTTCCTGCAGTTGTCATCTGAGCAGTGTTATTGCTGCTCTTCCTACTGGCCATTTTTCCAGATGGATTTTAGCAAGAAAGCACAGGTCCTCATCAGTTCTTTGGGATAATAATTGAAAATTAAATGTCACAAATACTGACCTTCACAACAAGGTTCTGGATGGTTAAACCTGGATTTTGGTTTCCCAGATAGATATGTTGCTGCAAGGCTTGATGAGGTGTGAGTGGATAAGATGACCTCACTCCAGGATTTCCGTACTGGCTGGTTCCTAGATGTGCTGATATTGGATAGTTACCTGCTCAGCACTCAGACCAGTCTGGGTCAGAAGCTGAGTTTTCAAGCACTCCCAATGCTGTAGGAAATGTTTGGATAAGGCTCCAAACCAGATGGACATTCACAGAGTTTTATGCTCTGAGAAAGCTTTCCCTGGTCTAATCCTCTGTCCGTCCTGCTCAGCTGTCTTTTGCTGACACTTCTCCCTTGACTTTCTGTTAGATCACTTTTCTTCCTCCTATATTGGGAGACACTGCTTTTTCTAAGGGCTCCCTTCTGGTGGCAAGACCATTCTAAGGTTTCCCTTCGAGTAAGTGCAGGATGAAGAACTCAGGCACTTCCTCATGGGGCTGAGCAGTGTCAAGCACAGCCTCCTCCAGGCAGCCACAGAAGAACAGAGGTGACCAGTGAAAAATGTGGCCTGCACAGGAGGGGCTGCCAACACTGGTGTAGCTCCCAGTGCTACCAGATTATTGTTGCCTCTGGAATTAATTGTTGCCTCCAGAATGAAGTCAGCAGATGTAATTCTGTTCTGCAGGCCATAAAAAAACAGGTTGTGGCATTGTGGCTTTTGCCTGATGCAATGGACTAGGTCTCAGGAAAGCAGTGGGTCTTTATCCTTTGTACTGCAAGTGGCTTGCTGAGCCCTTCTCCTGCTCCCCAAGTGAGTTCAAGTGCTCTGAGCCCAAGTACAGCCACACACAGATACCAGTAGGTCCCAGATTTACATGCATACACACACCTGCCTGCATACAGAGGAGCTTTGCTTTCCATGCAGTACTTAACTTTCTTTAACATAAATGTCTGTCCTCTTCTATTTCCACTTGGGCAGAATCAGTCCTCACAGTCCCAAAACACCAACAGCTCGTAGGTGTTGCCATCACCATCTCTGAGAGAATTTTAAAGACAATGAATTAGTCAACAAAAGCTCTTCTATTCACTCTCCTTTCTAACTTACCTTGTTCTGTACCGTCTCAACAAGAATTTCCTTTTAGCATCAGCAGACTAGCACAGTGTAAGTAATAAAAAATGTGCTGTCATTTAACATGTCTAATCTAAACTAAAGATTAGAAAAACTTAATCGTTAAACTGAGATTTAAAGATGCTTTGGCATTCTGAACACACCAAGAAGCAAATTCAACACAGCTGGCTCAGCAGTCAACAAATAATTACTCTACAGTGATAGACTGTCCTATATCCCAGGGTTCATTATTGAATTCCATATACAGCTTTACAAAGCAAACAGCATTTGTGTATTCTTAACACTTTATCAGCTTCATTATTCCTGATTTGAATGCCTGATAAACGAACAGCCTCATATGCTGGCCTAATAAATGAATCTGAATGTTTGCTGAGCTCCACATTCAAGACAGTTTAGGCAAACGGATTTCAACATATCAAACATTTTATAGAGCCATATATTTTTTCCAAAGGATTTTTAGGAAACAAAAGCTAAATTAAAAAATGGTCATTATTGTTGTCTGTGGTAAATGAGCATTGATAAAAAGGAGTGTTTTCTAGCTTGTTCAGCAACATGCAGTGTGGGGAAGGAGTAAGAAAAATGCATTTGCTTAACCTTGGGTTCACAACCCTTTGGATAGTTGCTGTTCCTTGGCTCTTTGCAGTAGTCCTTTTTCCAGTATTTTCTCTCCCTGTCTGCATTTCAAGGTCCCCTAAGAGCCATGCAGTTTTTGCTTTTTTTCAAGCTGGCAACTTAGGACATGATGTCTAGGGCATCCTTTCAGGCTTTTTTTATAATAAGACCTCAGTAAAAGCTTTTGCCTATGATATCTGCCTGAGAAATTTCATTATTTGATTCAATATTTGGAAAAAACTTGTGATATTTGTAAAGCTTTACTGAAAATGTCACAGAGAGAAGGAGAGGACCCCAGAAATAAAGAGAGCAATGGAACATGCCATGGTCCTTACACGAACACTGTGAACATTTCCTCACTGCCTCACGTTGTTATATGATAGACAAATATTTTCATATTAACCTTGAAAGCCTCGTTTTCCCACAGGTTAAAGCTCACCAAGACTAAGGTCCTTTCACTGCTCATAATGAGATTCTGGTTGAGACCTTTGAAGAGCTTTTATGCCCCCCTTAATTTTGGTTGAAAATTAAGCCATTTCCTCCTTCAAAAGCTCTTCTTCCTCTAGGGTTCTATTCCTCCTTCTCTCTATGAGCTCTTCTTTATTCCTTTAACCTTTCCTCAGCTAAACCCATGCCAATAGTCCCACTTTAATTTAACTCTTTACATTATAATCCTTTCTTACACTAATACTCAAAAATATAGTACCTTTTATAATGTTTAAAAGATGCTGCACTTTATTTGTTTCATCAAGTTTTTTTGGCTTTGTAGTGTCAGCAAACTATATAAAAAATACGAAACCCCTCCAAGGTGTCTGTCGCCTTTGAGCTTAAGAGGAAAGACTGGAACTAAACTACTGGCTACATGTATATGTTCACACTCAAGAAACATTAAAATAATATTTTGTTCTATTATTTTCAGCACTACATTAATGTTGCAGAGTGTTCTTTATTCCATACCTGACACTAAAAGTATCCTAGCTTAAGGACTTTGTTTTGGGGAACTTGAGATACAGTTAAGGTTATAGATTTAAAATATCAATAGATTATATTATACAGATCTTTTTGTCAGATTACCAGTCTTAAACACCTTCAGTTAAATTACCTGTAGGACAAATTATTTTGTAACTCAGGTTAATAATGAAAATAATTAGTCCAGGCTATCCAAACCAGTGAGCACAAAAATTGTTCCTGAGACTGTGTTCTTTGGAGGGGCAAAAGCTTTTGCCACAGAAGAGAAAGGTCATTTTTATTAATACAGCAAAAAATCCAGGTGCCTCCTTCACATATACGGGACAATAAGGAGCTTACAAGTTTTCTTCCTTTTGCAAGTTTTTTAAGGACTAGAAATATTAATGGTATTTACCTGTATATGGGTTTTTCCTAAGAATGGATCTGTCCTCTGCTGTACCTTCCAGCTAGAAATGTCTGAGCTATGAGGAAATGGTTAAAGCAGATAATACCATGCCTGCTGAGCTATCCAGGACTCCACAAGTTAGGAATAATGTTTGGTGCCATTTGGTAACCACCTGGCCCTCTGGAGGATGCTGGTCATCCCCCTCCCTGCAGAGGGGCTGTTGGGGTGCAGCACACACAGCCAAGGAGCCCCACACGGAGTTAGAGACAGTTCATTTCCTAGTGTTGCTGGAGACCAGCTAGGGATTAACAAAGAAAGAATTGCCTTGCCAGTTTATTCATTCCTGTCAAGAAGGCAAGCTGTTATTTTGAAAGGAGCTAACGACACGATGGCGAAAACCATATAAGCTGAACAGAAACTTCCCCTGTATCCTCCAGCCAACTGTAAATTCAGCCAGCAGAAATCTTGGAAATGGTACAAGCTTGCCTGCTTTGAGAGCACTCAGGTTGGGGTGCCAAGAATAAATCTCCCTCTGAGGGAAACCTCTGAAGTAACTGCTGCTGGCTGAGCTGTTCTGGCTGTGAAGGCAGAGCTGAGTGTGGCAGACAGTGCCATGCCATGCCAGATGCTGCATCCTCCCGGCTCTCTCTGCACCAGATTTTTCCTCATTTGTCAGTGTGGGAAGAGAAGGAAATGCTTCACTGCCCTTTCCTTTGCCTTGACTGGCAATTCTGGGCCTCTCCTTCTATTTACTCCAGATACTCTGCGCTGTCCCAGAAAGCTGAGACAGCCATAAACACCATTTAACTGGTTGATTAAGTCAATTCACAGCTGCTTTTCATCACCAGAATTTTGCAAAGCAACCATTGGGCCTACACCATTGAGTCTCTCTATGAGGACAGAGCACTAAGTTGCACAGAGTTGGTATCAGCATCCCAAAGAAGGGCATGAGCAGCAACCAGGAACTCTGACTTGCAAATAATTCTTGGCAGTGCCTTTTTCAGATGTAAGATGGGAGAATAGTTTCTTAAATGTTTACAGCATGTTGCACACTTGTATTTCACTAAACAAGGTGCAATATTCTTTCAACTTGAAATTTAGATACTGGAAAAAAAAAAGCAGAAAATATATAATTCATGAAAGAACCAGAATTTAATTCAAGGCAGTTCATAA